TTCCCTCCTACCTACGCGCCGTTTCGGGGTGCTGTGGTTGAATCCAGCAGCCACTAGATGCCAGTGCCGTTTTACACGAGAACGAGCTCGCCGCTGAAGAGAGCCCAAGCCTAGAAAAAATTTTCAGGAATTCGGGCAACTTGCCAGTTGTTAAATATAGCATTACACATCACAGCTGCTCTTCCCTCTCCCGGGCTGCTCTCCTTCAATGTATAGCCAGTTGTGCCTTGTGTACGTGCTCGGGAGGCGAGCAAAACTCCACCTTTTTTTTTTTATTATTATTATTTCTTTTTAATCCCGGGCCATAAAGTAGGATGAACTTGAGAAACTTGCGTGTGTCCGTGGGATGAGCCGCCTCGCAGAGCTTCTCTGCACAACTTGACCATGCTTTGGCTTTCCTCCTGCACAACATCTTATCCCTCCCAAATTTACTAACAGTATTTGGAGCCGTGGAAGAGATGCCAAATTGGGATCTGACCCAACGCGCTGGGGAGAAGGGAGAGAATCCCTCTGCTGTCTCCGGGCTTTGATGCAGGCTTTTAGGATCTATCTGATGTTATTTGTGTGTGTCCCCAAAGGATATTTGTGTGCAACCTATCTACAGGACCACCAGCAGCTCTCTGGTTTTTAACACTTTCACAGCTGGGGCTGCGTGTGCTTGAGTTGGGTTTGGGCACTAAGGAACCTCACTCCCCAAGTGTTTTCCTTAACCAGCTCCAAATTTGGATGTGCACTGTGTCCCCATCTCCTACAGGTAGCTGGAGCCAGGCCAGGGCAAGTCTCTGGGCATGGAGAGGAGTTCCAGGAGGCCAGGTATCTCCAGGGAGAGAGCAGCCCACCCCAAGCACCCCCTGAAGGAGAGGGGTTGGTGGGTAGGGACTAAGCCCCTCACTGACACTTAACAAAGGGCAGCTAAGAATTGCAATTTTAGCCAAGACCAAGGTTTTTTGGGGAACACAGTGATTTCCAGCCCTTTTGGAAGAAAGGAGCATGCCATGAGAGTACTATGAGCAGCACCAAGGTCTGGCTGACCTCCAGGCAGCTAGTGAGCAGCAGTAATTTGTGGTCCCTGACTAGAATGTCACCCTTCGAAGTTTTGGGGATTTTTACCCCCAGAAGGGAAATCCAGGTAGGTATGTGATGGGGAGATTAGACTGACTATTTAGTTAGGCTAGTGGCAAAAGGGAGATGTGCAAGCTCAAAGATAAAGCAACTGTCCTCGAAAGTCATTGGAGACCTTGTCCCATGGACTTCTAGAAGGGATTTTCAATGGCACATGGGAGATAGTTTCCAGTGGGATGTTCCAGGGTCTATCCAGCTCCTAAAATGGAGTTTTGTAATCCTCAGACATGTTTTATTCTTATTTTGCACCTCAGAGGTCCTGTGCTGTAGAAACCCTCAGGAAAGGGCTGGCTGGAAGAAGGGAGAAGGAAAAATGCAGGTTTTGTACCTCCTGCCCTGCAACCTGCCAAACAGGTGGCCATCTGCTAATTTTTCTGGGCCATTGAACTTCTCGTCGCTCACTGCCCAAGCGTATCTTAAACGTGTTCGTAGAGGATGGATACGGTTTTTGACTTTGTCTTGCTATCCACTGGGAACTCACATCTTTACAAGTGTGAAATCGTGTTTTTTAAGTTGGGTTGTGGGTTTGAGATTTCTTGAAAAATCGTTCTTGCTCTCCAAAATTCATCAGCCAGCTGCTGAGCAAAGAGGGAATCTCAGTTTTCTGAGACGGGAAATGTTAAAGCACAAAAGCAAATTCTGCCGTTGCCCTGATTTCAAAGAAAATGAAAGCAGGACATCAGGAAAAGTTAATGAGGTAAAATAATAGAGCTGGCGATGCTGCTGTTCCTGCTAAAGCCCAAAATATAGCTGACCTCTTTGTGAGTCTGTAAGAACAATGTCAAGCTATTTTGGCGAAATCTCTTCTGGCTTGGTAGGGAGGCCTTAGGGTGAGTGCTCTGGGCTATCAGCAGCAAGGTACCAGATCTTCCCCTCATTTCTTGGGCTCAGGATCTCACTGGAAAAGTGCAAAAATGGAACCCCTTGTGCTGGGAGTGAAAGCACAGCAGTATTGCTCAGTCATTTAACTATGATGGTCTTCCAGGTCCTCATCTTCTTAAAATGACCAGGGCTGTAGCTGATTTACCTGCTGGCGACCTGGCAACAGACTCTTCTCAAGGTGGGACCAATCCCTCACAGCCCTAAATGATGTATCACTCCATCTGCCCCCTTATTTTTGCACATTGCTGTCTTGCTATCGATGCTCCCCTGAGACATCTCCGTTGGGATCAAGTAAGGAACAAAGGTATTACCACTGCAATAAATTTATAGCAAAAGTTATTTCTGTGGGCTTGACAGAAAAATAAATATAGGCCAAAGAGGTGATGGGGAAAAAAACGTAACCAAGCCCTTGATTTTTTTTTTTTTTTTTACTGAAGAGTGCAGAAGTAGGGCTGCTGATTTGCTGCTGCATGTGCATGCCAAGTGTCACCAAAGTGCATGTTGAAAACACTCCTGGTGTTGCTGAGCAGCTTGTGACCTCACCTGTCTGACCTCAAATCGATCCCTCCAGAGCAAAATGTGCTCTTATTTACCATGCACAGGATGACCCTTTCAGATGAAACTTGGGGTGTAAAAGGACTGAGGCACGTATGTTGGTTTAAAAAGTTTTAATAATATTTCAAAGTCCAGTTAATGTCCTTGGATTACTCTGAAATTACAGATTTGCTTCACAGAATCTAATCCCAGTTGTAATTTCCTTGTAATGCATGATTGAGATGCCATTTTACCCTTCATTCTGTTCCAACATACATGATTGTCCTCCAGTAAATGGATAGCGTGATTTTTCACTACACTTCATAGTGTTAAAACTCTATACAAATATTGTACTCCGCGTACAAAAATAAGTGCTTCATGCACACACTTTTTAATACTGCTTCTTGCCCTTTTCTTTGACATCTTCCTGAACTTATATAAATAGCTGGAAAAAAAAAAAAAAGCAGACTAAAGTTGCTGAACACGGAAAGTGAGAAAGACTTTCTGCCAACTCTTAGAGAGAGACGCGCATGGAGATGTTACTCGTTGGCAGCCAAGTGCGACTTAAAAGACAGAGAAGAGAAAATAAAACCATGATACCTATAACACTCTTGGTTATTTTGCCCTCTGTGAACAGGTTTGTGGTTTTCTGCAAAGCCAAGTATGCCAAACAGCAACCAGGGAGGGCTTGTAATACCTTTACGATTACCCTAATAAGCTATTTTATAAATAGAAAGGGTCTAATAAGATACAGCTTATGTGTTTTTGTTCCATTCCTAGTGAAATCAAGTCAGCTGAAGCATGAGAAGAGAAAAAACTTAGCTCCTGGTAGTTGAGGCTTTGTCACAGACCGTTGTGCTTTGGGGATGCACGGGAAAAGCTCCGCTTGAAACGACGTGTGTGGTGCCACCTTACATCATCTGGGCCAAAGCTGTTGGAATCGATGGGCATCATCATCAAAATTGTCCCCCAGAACGGGTTTTTTTTTTTGGTCCTAGACTGAGCAGATTCAAATTTTCTTAGCGTGGATTACTGTATAGGTTCTATTATATAAGATTAACATGTCCTCTGTAGTTATCTAACGCTGGGTTTCTCCTCCATCTCTAGAGCATCAGTACTCCTGCCTCAACCCGATGGCAAAAATAAATGGATAATGCCCTCCTGCTGTAAACCCAAGGATGCTCCCAGCATCCCTGAAGCGTTCAAACACACCACCACCACCAGTGCTCTCCAAAACAAGAGACACCTTCACTGTTGACGTGAACCCTCTTCCACTAAATTAATTTTGGCCAGAATCACAGCAGCCTTGCTTTAATGAGCAAAGCAGCGTTGGTAGCCAGGCAGGGCTCTTTCCATCCTGTCGAAAAGGTTCCTTGTATAGAATTTTATTCCTGTAGAGGTGCCTCTTATTACTGGGCCAGGGCTGTGAGCTCTTGCGCTCTAATTAAGTAGAGAATTGGCCCTGATGACTTGCACTTTTCTGGTCCTCAACTTTAATAGTCCTAAAAGTTTTCCTGTCTTTCACTGAATGTGCCGTTTGATGGGAGGTGGAAAAAAAACCACACCGGTGGTTTGCTGGTTTGTGACTTTTAGGTATGGCTGGGAAGCAGTAAAGTAAGGGAAAACTCTGCTGAATGCTTGCCTCCTGCTTTAAAAATCAAATTAGCATTCAAGAGCGTGCAAACTGCCTGTTAGGCTGGGCAGACACCTTTCTGATCAATGTCTTTTTTTTCCCTTGGCTGTGCCGGAAGGAATTGAAAAGATGCTTGAGATGCCTGAACGCATCCCTGCAGTGCTGGTGGCACGGGATGCTGGAGGCAGTAAGAGGCCAACCAGGACCCTCCTCATGGCCAAAGGGCAGCTTTTCCTTCCAGCCTCTGCTCTGCCTGGCTTGAGGAATTTTGAGGTGAACGGAGGAGAACTCCCGGTGCGTGGAAGGGCTTGCTGGAGGTAGCCCATCCTTCCCCGGTCCCATGTCACAATGTCCATGGGAGCAGCTGTTTTCAGCGCAGGTTGTTGCTTGTAAACACACACACAATGGTGTGTACCCATATATACATATATATATTGTCCCTGCCCATGGCAGGGGGGTTGGAACTGGGTGATCTTTGAGGTCCCTTTCCAACCCAACCCATGCCATGATTCTATATATGTATGGATATACACACACCTGAGAACCACTCATTTTCTGGGCTGAGATTTTGCTTTCTAGCATGCAATTCTGATTTTGAGTGATGTATTTTTTTTTTTTAATTTCTCCTTCCCCCCCCTCCAATATCCTGTTACGAAACTAAAAAACTAGAGCAGTGAAACTCAGACTAAAACCTAACATCAGGCGACAGATGAGTCTAAAATCGTGAAGGTGTAAGAATTGCCAGGCTGAGATTTTTTTGGTGTTTTGGGGTTGTTTTTTTTTTTTCCTACCTGTGCTTGATTTAGAGGGAACTCGATTCAAGACAGGATTAAAATGCTCCATAGCCATCGCTGCGCGCAGCGACCGCGAAGGCCGGGTAGGCTTCGTAGGCTGCGTACGTCGCTAAATCTTGTCCCATGGTCACCGCTTGTTTGAGCTGGGTGGCCGTGACGGTGGCGGCTGCGTTAGCTATGGTATATCCTGCAAAGGGAAAGGAGGGGGGAAAAAAAAAGAATTTCAAATTAAATTTACCATGAGAGTTGTAGAACACTGGAACAGGTTGCCCAGAGAGGTGGTGGATGCTCCATCCCTGGAGACGTTCAAGGCCAGGTTGGACGAGGCCCTGAGCAACCTGATCTAGTTGGAGATATCCCTGTTCCTTGCAGGGGGGTTGGACTAGATGACTTTTGGGAGTCCCTTCCAGCCCTAATCATTCTATGATTCTATGATTCTATGATTAATGAAAAGACGTTCAGAACTCTCTGTCACCCGGTGGGTTTTGACTGGAAGACTTTGCTGTCGATGGGAATGACCTACGGAGCAATGAGTTTGTTAATGGGAACAATGTAATTAAATTAAATAGGTCATTTCTGGCATGTTTTTTTTCTCCATGTTAATCTTCCAGCTTTTTTTTATTACCTTTAACGCATTTTCTCACCTGTTATTTGTTAAACATGCTGCTTGAAAAAGGCCCCTCTCTGTTGAATATTTTTTTCCTGAGGCTTTGAGGGTGCTGATTTCTGGGCTAAGAGGGTGCTAATGGTGCTCTGTACGCGTCCTCCCACGCAGGACATGAGGAGGGCAAGAAAATGATGTAATACAGGGGAAATCTGGGCAGGTTTCATAGGGAAAATATGGCTCTGATACCCCTCACAGTCAAAATACATGCAATTCAGGACAGCCACATCAGAGAAGGAAGCTCCTTCTACGTAATATCAGGGAGAAAATGTTTAGTAAACTGGATTTTTTTTTTTTTTCCCATCAGTTTCTAATGGAAAATGTGGTTTCAACACTTCAAAATTTTCCATGGGAAAAAACGTTAGCTTTGCTGATTTAAAATGAATCACCGGGGAAACAAACATCGTTTGAGGCTGGTGTGTCTGAAAGCGGAGCATAGCAGCTTGTCCACCAGACCACAGTGTTTGGTTGTGAAAGAATCAAGAATTAAGACGAAGCCCAAATCTGGGAAGAGCAGCCGTGGTACCCATTGGCTCTGCTGGACCAGGGCAACTGGGCAACGGGATCAACTCAAGGTCAGTCAGAGCCAAAGTCGTCTCGGTGGAGGGAACGGAGATATTGGTCAACGCTGAGAGCGCGTTGCCTCGTTGAAGGTGTTACTTTAGGGGCAAACATGGGAAATTTGCTGTAATTTGAGTATTGTGGCCGCTCGAAGTATCTTTTTTATATGAGCAAAGTGCAACATTCTGACTGGGGATTGAGAAATCTGTCATTTCAAGGTTATCTGCCAAAGTCGTAGGAGAAATGAGGTGCTACGGTGGGCACGGCCTGAGCTGGGCTTCAGCAAGCCCTGGTCAAGGACCGGTGTGTGTGTGTTGCAAGCAGAAACTTCAATGTGTGTCACTTTGTTGAGTTTCCTAGACAAATAAATGAGGGTAGATGAAAGAAAAAGGAGAGATTGTAATTAAGCAGTAAGTGGAGACTGGATTCAATAAAGAGCCCATTTGGTTTCCACGCTGCGGAAGCCTGCACAAACCCAGACAAATTGATTTTTCTGTGGCTTTTGCGGACTCCTGTGGCAGGAAGCCGGATAGATTTTTTTTTTCTTTACTTTTTTTTTATTTTTTTTTAATCCGTCCTTGAGACAGTCCAAACAACTCAGTAGTACTGACTAATGCATTCCTCATGTGCAGTTTGGCGTGCGTTGCTCCCACTACATCAGAATAACCGTGATGCTGGAGAGCACAGTAAATGTAATGCCTGCAAACTGGATTCCAGCTCCCAGCCTGTATTTTCCATGACTTCCCAAGCTGTTTTGGGCACTCGCAAGAGCCATTGAGTATGAATTCCTGAACTGGAAAAACCAAACCATTTCGGTGGGGGTGTGAGAGCTGGGATCAGATCCTAACTTTCACGGTTGCGTTGTTTCTTTGGTGGATGAAATCAAAAGTGTTGGTTCAAGAGGAGCTGGGGGAGGACAGATGGGCCATGAATCAATCAACCTTGCATCTTTGCAGTGAGGAAGTTCTACTCCATCCTAAGTGGCATCGGTCAGACAGCAGTCAGCAGGGCATTCATCCCAGATGTGGCACTGGGGATGCCAATTCTGGATCCTGCATCCTATCTGGGACTCCCACTTGAAGGGAGGCACCCACAAACTGGAAGGACTGGAAGACACATGTACCTGGGATGAGGCTCTGAGCAGTGGGGGGATCCCCATCCCTGGACACTGCCCCAACTCACCTTGACACAGTGCCAAACAAGCTGCTGTATTTGCAGCATTGAACCTGCTGGGAGCAGGTTTGGACCAGAGACACCCATCCCAGTGCATCCAGTCTGAATTGCCCTACGGTATGTACACTGGGTAGAGCTGATATAGAGATAAATTACTATATAGGCAATAAAGATGTCATACACGTAACTAACACGAGTCAAGGTAGAGGTGTGGGGGGGAGCACAGCCAGGTCTGTCCTCAGTGGCCAAAAAAGGGGTTCATTCTTGCCATCCACAAGGAAGCTGCAGGAAAAATAATATTCCAGGACACCTTGGCTGGACAGACCTTCCCATACCTGGAAAAGCTGGCGCTGCAGTAGGCACCTCTGCTCCCTCTGTGGGAATCCCCAGCGTCTGAAGGGTGTATTCTGCTGCGTAGGTTTTGGCTTCGTCGATGTAGGCGCTGAGCTTGGGCGGTGTGAAGGGATGTCTGCGAGAAGAGCAAAATGTTAGCTTGGGTTTGGTTTTTTTTTTTTACTCTAGGATTATCGTGCAGGATGTTTTGATCCGCTCGTAGATGGCATCATCCCACACATCAAATGGAAACGTCGTTCTGCTGTGCTGATCATAGAATCATAGAATCATAGAATGGTTAGGGCTGGAAGGGACCTTCAAAGGTCATCTAGTCCAACCCCCCTGCAAGGAACAGGGATATCTCCAACTAGATCAGGTTGCTCAGGGCCTCGTCCAACCTGGCCTTGAACGTCTCCAGGGATGGAGCATCCACCACCTCTCTGGGCAACCTGTTCCAGTGTTCTACAACTCTCATGGTAAAAAATTTTGTCCTAATATCCAACCTGAATCTACCTCCCTCTATTTTAAAACCATTACCCCTTGTCCTATCACAACAGGCCCTCCTGAACAGCCTCTCCCCATCTTTCTTGTAGGCCCCCTTGAGGTACTGGAAGCCCGCTATAAGGTCACCCCGGAGCCTCCTCTGCTCCAGGCTGAACAGCCCCAACTCTTTCAGCCTGTCCTCATAGGAAAGGTGCTCCAGCCCTCTTATCATCTTCGTGGCCTCCTCTGGACCAATGCGTTAACAAAATGATGCGTTAACAAAAGTACTCTCCTCGTCGTAGCAGAGTCTCTTTGCTGAGTTTATAGGCTCTGGGTCTCATTTTGGACACAACATCCCTTCAGAGCATGTTGTGCATTTCCAGTCCAGAAGAAAGCCTGCTGCAGGCTGGGTTTTCCTTTAAAATACGCAGCAAGCAATGTTTTAGGTCAGAAATGTTTAGAAACATATTTGGAGCCGAATTATCCGCATGTTCCTTCAGGCTGTTTTCTTTTTCCCACAAGAGCTATCGTACTCTTTATTTTTGTACTCAAAAGCACCCTTTTGCCTGATTATTTCTGGTTTTTCTGTGATCTTTGCACCACCAGGGAGAGAGCACCAAGCATTGCAGCCACCACTGTCCATCTATTTTAGTTTGTGGAGGTTTTTATCCCTAATATATTAAAAAAAAAAACAGACTAGAGACCTGTGCAATTGTATTTTGAGGAGAGATGCAGGCTAAAGAAAAAAAATAAAAAATCTTAAACCCCAGAAAACCTCAAATTGTTACGTACATGGTGGGGTTCTGGCTGGCGAGGGCAGGGATGGTGATTTTGTATAGAAAGAGCTGTCTTTGGTCTTGGCCAATTGCAGAGTGGAGCTGGTAAACGGGCTGTCCCCAGTTGTTTTTCTGGCAGACTTCTTCTAAGATCTAGAAGGGAGAAAAGGGATTTTTTTGCTCGGGTTAATGGCTGTGCAGGAACCTTCTCGCCCAGCTCCAGCACCTGCACTTCTCAACTTCCTTCCCTCCAAAGGGTTTTCAGGGATGTCGTGGCAGCTTCCTCAAGGCTTAGCAAAAAAAATATATCAAAGAAATGACAGACAGGACAATACGTTCACCTCAAAGCATAAGATTCACCTAAATATTTTATACCTTAAAAATCCACGTAATTCCTGAAGTTAATTATTCCCCCTGTAAAAAATCAGATGTCTTTGTGCTTTCGCTGCTTAACTGTTTTATTTTGTTATTGGTGTGGTTTTCTTTGAGTTTTCCCCAGGAACTCTCTCTATGCACTTCTCTTTAAAAGCACTAAAACACCAGGGTTGCATTCATCTTCACCACTCTGGTGCCTCCCTGGCTTCGTGGGTTACAGTGCATGAAAAGCCCAAATAGTTGTCTTTTTTTTTTTTTTTTTAAAAAAAAAAAAAAAAAGAGAAAAAGGGCTGTGTTTCCATCCAATTAATTATACAGACTTCAATAGGTGATTTCTGGTTCTGGTTTGAAAGAGAAATGCTGAACCATGTTGCCCCCAGCCTTAGCACAGTTTATTCCATGGTAATTGGGAATCACTCTCCGGAAACGTTCTTGCTTTGGCTTTGTATTTCTTTTTTTCTTTTTTTTTTTTTTAACCCACTGGGTATGTGCTGTCCCAAATGGGTTTGAACACAGCGTGGTGTTCCCCTGCTTCCCTGTGAGCGGTGCTTGGATCAGTTATTTTTTTTTTTTCAAGTAGCTCCACCAGACCTGACACTCGGTTGAGAAGATGTTGGGTCTTGGGGTTTTTGTGATGTTGGCCATGCTACCAGCTGGGTCAGAGCAGAGACCTCTGGGTACCTCTAACCTCCATCTTTCTGTGACCTGCCTTATTTAAAATTTACGTTTCATTTTATTTCAAAATCAAATGCACAATTTCAACGTCAGTGCTGCTTTGGATTTTGTAATCACAGCTCCACCTCAAGTTTAGCACTTTGTAGTGTAAATAAACTAGTTCATTACATTTCTTTATACAGATGTCAGTTTTAGAACTTTACAGCAACGTTTAAATCCTCAATAAGGCAAATCTACTTATTAACACCTAGCAGCCCAGCCAAGCAGGAACGAAATCCATCATTCCAAGATGCTGTTGAAATGGTCCCAGCGCAGCGGATGGGAGAGGCTGACCAAGTTGACAGGTATTAACGAGGCTGTCCTATTAACGAGGCTGTCCTATTAATGAGGCTGTCCTATTAACGAGGCTGTCCTATTAACGAGGCTGTCAGGAAGCAAGCTGTAGCTGTTTGGGATCTGCTGTTGTGAAATAGTAGCAGGGGGAGGATTAGGGAGGACAGCTGCTGGGAAAATGTGCCCCAAAATCTTTCCAGTGCTCCCCACTGTTACCATGCTGTTTGAAATACATGGGGTGGGGGTTTGGCACGGATGGGAAGAGGAAAAAATGAATTTCATCTGCCCTAAGGCAGCGCAGCAGCACTCAGGCTATTTCATCCCTCTTAAATGCTGATAAAATAGAGTAAGGGGACTGTGAAATTTTGCAGGGCGGGGAGGAGAAATACCCACCTTCCAGTTTTCTGAGGGAGAAAAGGATATTTTCATAGACTTTGGCAAACTGGATGCTGTGGCAATTGAAGTGTTAATAGCCAAAGATATGCTCTGCGATTCAGGGTGAAGTTAGTTCCTCATGTTGCTTTGGATGATGTAAGGGGAAAGTTACTGCTGTAAGAACCAGACCCTCAGAAAGTCAGAGAATTTTGTTCTGGGTTTGTTCTCCTCAGCCCTCACCCATCCATCTGGATCCCAGTCCTTGCACGCACAACCACATCAAAAGCCTCCTGGAGCAACCAGAGGTTCTGTGCTGGGCTGGGTTGTGCAGGCAGTCAACACCTCTTTCCCCATAACTGATTGCCCCAAGCGGTGCATCCTGTTTATCAAACCCGTTTTGGGTGAGAATTTCGTGCTTTTACGGAGCAACAGCCATAGCTGAATTTCATCTCACACCCATGGGTGTTCTTGAAAGCTCTCCTCCCTGGCAGAGTGGACGCCATCCTCCGGCAAGGCGGGTGGGTCTTGCAAGATGCAACTAGTGGTATTATCATTTTTTATTTAATGTCTTTTGAGGTGTAAGAATGGATTTAGTTGTCACTCCCCAGTGCAGATTCAAGCAGGGGTCTGTTCTCCCAAAAGCATTTTGGGCAAAGACAAACCTCTGGCTGGGCTATGGGCTCTCTTTTTTTTCTCCCACGTACCTGAGGAGCGAGTTTGATCCCTTGGGGCTTTAGCGTGACGTGATTCATCGGCGTGAGCTCCATTCCTGGCAAGAGGTCGTAGAGTTTATCCTCTCCCCTCTTTTCTCCTTTGAGCTGGTATCCGCGCCCCAGGCCCGTGTATGCCAGGTAGCCACGACCTCCCAGTCCTCTAACTCCCGCAGCCCCTACAGGTACATTCATGTAAATTTCTAGGAATGTAAGAAGGCATTAAACTGAATCAAATCACCGGAAAAATTACCCTGATTCTCGCTGAAATGGAAAAGTTAGCCCCACTCGCCAGGTTTGGGAAGATAATGGGCAGGAGACCCCATAGCCTGTTGCTGGGAGGACTCAGAGGTGGCATTGACACCCTTTCTTTTTGGGCTCATGTGCTTGGATGGGTGAGGTTTTCCGGGGGAAGCCCTGCTTCTTTCTGACCCAGTTTCCGTCTTCTGTGGTCAGGTTTGATTTCGTGATGCCTTTCTACTGGGATGTCTGGTTGAAAGGCAGAGAGGGGACAGCTGATGTGATTTGCTACGCACCAGTGTAATTTCAGCTCCTTAAGGGATTCAGTTTATACAATCCCCTGTTTATATAAACAAATATCCTTTTTTTTTCCCCCCACTACACTTGCTTTTCTGTTTGGGGAGTCCTACTTGGGAATTTGGGGAGACCGCAAGGCAAGAGAGGGCCAGTGGGTTGCCACATCTGCACCCTTCCTAATGCAATCTTCGTGGAAGTTGGTCTTACCTGTGCAGGCAAAAACACAAAGGGAAAATCCTGCCCCATCCCTGGAAGTGTTCAAGGCCAGGTTGGATGGGGCTTTGAGCAACCTGGTGTACGGGAAGGTGTCCCTGCCCATGGCAGGGGGGTTGGAACTAGATCATCTTGAAGGTCCCTTCCAACCCAAACCATTCTGTGATTCTTCCTTTGGGAAGGGGGAAAAATTGACCAGCATGGTCCTTGTCAGCCACACCAGGGTGCCATGCAGGGTCTCAGCCTGCTGTAGGACCTGGCCACGGGCTGGGACACCAGCTGACTGCCACAGGCATCAGCTTTGGAAGGAAGATCAAATGGGCAGGGTTTTTTTTTTTGGTTTGTTTTTTTTTTTGCTAGCCCCCAACCTTCTGCACTTACCAAACGATGCCTGCAAAGACATTTAATTTGAGGGTACCTGAGCATGGGGATTTGATTTGATCCCAGCTGCGGTCACTCAGGATCAAAGGCTGAGCCTCAGCAGCCTCCAGAAATACTGCCAGTTTTCACAGGCTGCTTATTATGAGGTTAATTATCCCCCCAAAAAAGTAGTCCATCTCCCAGAGCACACAATTAATGGCTTGCTTGACTTCAGTGCTGGTTCTCTACCCTGCGTCAGAGCAATGTGACCTCCTTGAGAAACTCCGTGGCTTTGAGTCAGAAAACACCAGGACTGGTAAAACTTTCCCTGTGACTTTCAAAGCAAAGAGGAGACACAGCAGAGAGCTGTGCTGGTGGCTGGTTGAGGGAGTTGGCTCCGAAGGGAGGAAAGGAAAATTGATTTATTTGGTCTTCCCTGCTGGGGCAAAACCAGGAGGATTCGTGGTTTATTTACGCTGGACTGAGGTCAATTTGGAAGCTGGTTCAAGCTTGCTCTTGGAAAATGGTTATTTTTTTTCATGCCTTGCTTAGTCTGCTGGAAGATCACTGCATCGGGTCTAAAAACTGTGTTTTCCATCCCTCTCTGAAAGAGGACCAATATCCTTGGCAAAGCCAACATCCTCGACATGAGTCTAGGGAGCAACCACCCAAGCCCCGGAGGAGATATTTCGCTACAGCTGAGTATTGGCATGGCTGGAGTTACCTCGGATGGACGGGGGCCGGATGATGCTCCTGTTGCTGAGCCCCTTGGTGGCAGGAAAGTGGAGGTTGGGGATGGCCGCGTAGGCTTGGGGTGCGTAGAAAACCGGGGTGCCCAGGTAGGCGGTGGCGGGGTCGTACAGGTGTCCGAAGGCGTAGGTGTATTCTCCTTGCAGCATAGAACCTCTGCCACCCGTGCCCCGGGTGTATCTGACATAGCTGTCTTTGTCGACGGGTTTGGCTAAGGTCACCTCGATCGGGGACCCATCCAGCACCTTCACGCCAGGGTGGTGGGGAGAGAGTATGGGAGAAACATAGGTGTAAGTTTCCAAAATGCACGTGGCTTATCCTGCCTGGAGAGGCAGCCTCCTCACGTGGTTTGCTAATGGGATGGCAAGCTGGAGAAAACCACCCAAAAAGGCCCAAATCTCCCTCCCGTGGGTGGAAAAAGGCACTGGCTGGGTGGAGGCTTAAGGTGTTGAGAGCACCCAGCCCTGGCCCCTGCAGGAGAGGCTCCTTAACCAAATCAGCACGGTTGTGCAGCCTTCAAAAGGCTTCGCTTCCCTGCAAAGTAGGGTGTGAGTCGGCGAGGTGGTACGTGCTCCTACGGAGAACAGCAGTGGCACTAAAAATAGGAGCGGGGTGAACACCTCTTTGGGAGCAGCCCTGGCCTTACGGTGCCGTGAAGTGCACGCAGAGCAAGAAGCACTAAATACAGCATCCCCCGCGCCAAGCCGCGTCTCAATTTGGAGCAGATGTTTCGAGTTGACCTTGTGTGTCCCGGTTCGCCATTCACACGCTGCCCTGCGAGTGTTTTTGTTGGCAGAGCTGGAATGAGGATGTGAGTGTGAGCCAAGGGAACCAGTAACCCCTCATTTGCTAGTCCTCTGCTTTTTTTTTTTTGTTTTTTTTTTTCCTGAGCAATGATCTACAGTCTGAGCTGGGCGAACCTTGAGCGCAAACGCAAGGAGCGAGAAGGCAAAATGAACAGTTTGTGTACGTCAGGGTTGCTGAAAAAAGTGGACTCAGGAGCATAATAAAGCAGCCTGCAACGAGAAAATGGAGCTAACACCTTCAGGATGTTTTTGCAGCTAATAAACCAGGCAGCTTTGTTTCAGCTGAGTATAATATTCTGTATATAAGCCCCACGAAAATTAGCATTTACAGCAGCTTTACCTTCCCGTTCAAGGCTTTCATGGCTTCCACCGCATCTTCTCTTTTATTAAAGTGCACAAAGGCGTAGTCTCTAATTTTCTTTACTCTCTCTACTGCACCTGCAGAAAGCATTGGAATATTAGTTGGAAATGGGTTTTAGCTGGAAAAACGCAGATCTGAAAGAGCAACTGTGAGCCATTGGAGAGCAAAGGCTGACCAAGGGTGAAAGAGCAAGAGGACAGTGTCTTCTTACCTCATAGGATGTGTGTACCATGGGAAAATAAATATAACGTCTGCAGTATTTCAAGGAAAACTAGAAATACTTGGGGTCAGACACCAGTAAGTTTCCCATTATACTGGAGTGGTTTTCTCCTGTCCAAAATGCTCTGCTGGATGCTACCTTTGTTCTTGTGTCTGCCTTCTGTGACAGATCACCAAGACCCGGATGGCTGAGCAGGACGTGCAACAGCCCGGGATATGGTGAGCTACAGGTAATGTCATCATGTGGTTGCCATCTCCATGGTTTTGTACGTGCATCGTATACGTCACTCAGAGGCAGCTTCAGGAATGCTGATGCTTTTGCTGTAAAACAAGGAGGCTCTTCTCTTAACCGTCAACTCAGGAGGTTCAGCAAGAACAAGCACCCAGTCTTGTCTGGAACAGAGCAACCCCAGGTGTGGGGATGGGCTGGGACCCACGGGGCAGCAGGTCTGGCCCTAAGAAACAGCCTGTTCCCTTGAGAAGACGACATCCCTGGGACAGGGCCCCAAGTGGTGGGGGACCTCCATCCCCAGGGATGAACCAACTCGCCTGGACACGGCCCCAGTGACCTACTGCAGCTGCAGCGTTGGCCCTGCTGGGAGTGGGGCTGGGTCGAAAACCCTCATCCTGAATCTTTCTACACCTCTGTGATTACCCAGAATAAGTCATAAAATCATAGAATGGTTAGGGCTGGAAGGGACCTTCAAAGGTCATCTAGTCCAACCCCCCTGCAAGAAACAGGGATATCTCCAACTAGATCAGGTTGCTCAGGGCCTCGTCCAACCTGGCCTTGAATGTCTCCAGGGATGGGGCATCCACCACCTCTCTGGGCAACCTGTTCCAGTGTTCTACCACTCTCATGGTAAAAAATTTTGTCCTAATATCCAATCTGAATCTACCTCCCTCTATTTTAAAACCATTATCCCTTCCCCTATCACAACAGGCCCTCCTGACCAGCCTCTCCCCATCTTTCTTGTAGGCCCCCTTGAGGTACTGGAAGACCGCTATAAGGTCACCCCGGAGGCTCCTCTTCTCCAGGTTGAACAGCCCCAACT